AAAAGAGAAGTCCAAAAGACAAGCATCAAAAGAAACACGACCCTGGTCACACAATCAGTGTGTAAATACAGGGATGTTACTCTGCATTCATAAAAAAACCCCTGATAACACATCATAACTCTGTTGTTACTATACTCATCTGGTAAATCTTATCCTCAAAAACCTGGAGGTTTAGTGTTGGAGCTTGGTGCCAGCACCTGGTGGAGGTGGAGGACGAAGAGCTGGGTCCCCTCTGACACCTCTCAGCCCTGGCAGGGCCCCCCTGGGGTTGGGGCAGCACATCCAGGGGCTGTGGCCACAGGATTAAAGGGTTTGGGAAGGGATTTAGTAAGAAAGTTGAGGATGTGTTGAAAACAGTCGTGAAAACATCCTACAAGCAGAGGTTAAACCAGACCAGTTACCATTCCTCCAGCTTGTACCACCAGCTCTTCCATTTACTGGCCATAAACCAGCCCAGCCTTGCCCACCCGAGGGGTTTGGGGTGCTTTGTTTTGGAACCTCTCATCTCTCCCCAGGAGAACGTGTCCTTCCTTGGCCACCTCTTCCACCCTCCACAGCCTTTGATGCAGGAAATATTTGGACCAGAGTGACACCGAGCTGAGTTTACAAAGAACCATTTGCAGCCTTCTAGGTAAAGAGCATTTTCCACCTTAACTCCCTCTCAGCCACGTTTTCTGAAGTTAGAAAAAGCTTAAAAAAAAAACCCCAACCCAAACCCACCCAACTTGTGTCCTTCCTGCCAAGGCTGGTATGATCCTGGCGTGAACAGCTTCCAAAACACTTCCTGTACAATAGAAAAAACCCCCAAAAATTCAACCAGTAAGACCCCAGTAAGGCAAGACTCTAATTTCCACTCAGGACTCTAAAGCACGTTGTAAAAAAAAACCAGTGGCTAATTTCTAATTTCCCATTTTTTTGGTACATTCAAGATACTCACTGTGACAATTACACCCAAGTCTTGTTGGTGTTGCTCACACAGATCCCAACCACAGGCAAGGACCTTTTTTTTTGGTGCCATTCTTTGTGATTTTGAACCATTCTCACGGTGTGCTGTTTAAAATCTTGATTCTCCATCCCCATGGAAATTATTTTTTGGCCCTAATTAGGTCTGGCTGTCGCTGAGTTGAGTTTTGCTACAAAATTAAACAGGAACTGTGTGCACCAGGATGCTGACAAGGCCAAGTGCTCCTGGGTTGAGTTATTTAAACAGAGTTCCTTGAAAAGAATTCCAGCTAGCTCATCAGATTCAAGGACAAATTTCTGATTTCCTTTCCTAGCGATGGGATAAAGAGGGAAACGTTGGGATAGGAGAGGACAGAAAGAACTGTAACAAAGAAATCCATCATAAATCATGTTAAAAATGGTGTGTAGGGAGTGGAAAAAAAAAATAACCACTTGTTTACACCCGTTTAGATGCTTTTATAGATCTATTTTAAGGAAAACTGAAAATGTAGCACAGAAAGAAAAAAAAACCAACAATCACTGGATTAATTTTAGGCACTTGAGCTGCATAGACTGTGGAAGGTGCCTGTCAGATCTGTTCAACACTCACACACCCCCCCTGCACCTATTCCATGCTATATAATGGGCAGGAAAACAACCATTAGGCCTCCCTGGGAAAAGAAAAAAAAAATAGAAATGAAAAAATAAAGCTCTGAAGAGCCTTGTTTCCAAACCAGTTCCAAGCTTTGTACTCCACCTTTCCTCCAAATTAAACCCCTGCATAATTTCCAGCTCAAAGGCAGCAATTAGAGAGAGAATTTCCCCAGTTTATTATCTGCTGAACAACAAGAAACGCTTCAAGCATTATTTACT